AGCTGCAGATTTCCCTGCAAGTGGCATAAAATCCTGAAATAAAAAATATAAATTAATATTAAAATGTTAATTGTAATTTGTTGACATTGGTAATTATAGAAAAGAAAATTGACAAAGAAAAAATAGCTTTATATCCCACTTCAAGGATAATATTTATAATTAGTTTGATCATTTAAAATTTGACCATTTGGCTTGTCATCTTTAAAAAGATGGACTTGTTTTTAGTTGCACTTCCTTATAGGCAATGTGCAGCAATGCCATTTTGTGCAGCAAAGCATGATGGTAGTTGTAGTCCTTTCACTTTTCATAGCACCAAAAATAAAAATATCTCCTTAATATAATAATGCTTATAGGAGGACTGTGGTAGCAGACATAAAAAGTATGAGGACTACAACTACCATCATGCTTTGCTGCACAAAATGGTGTTGCTACACCCCAGCCTATTGTGTTATTTAATTGTATGATCTTGGAGAATCAGGGGGCACTGTTAAAAAATGATACATTCACTCTAGTATGTCAATGTCAATTCATCAACCTTATAGGGGTGCACACCCCACCATCCCCTAAATCCACCTCGGTATTTCCATGCAAACCTCATCAAGATATAATGGCCTCTCTTTAATTCTTGACTTGAGGTCGGCAGCAACCCATAAAAGATAGCGAATTTCATCACTTGTGAAGTCTTTCAATGAAATTAAGTTTCTTCCTTTGACAGATGGAAATGGATGGTCCTGATGACTRAATAGAATGACAGTGAGGATCTATTCAGTGATTAACTGATTAAGAATTCACCAAGGCATTAACACAGGTGACTATTAAGAGTTCAAAGACCTTTTCATCCTCATTGCACTGCTTTTCTTTATTAGTCATTGTGTCTAGTCTATGCCTCAGCAAATTCTTTGTTAGTGTATAATATAGTTAATTGAATAAATCAATTTTATTAGGGGCTAAATAGTTCATAATTGTTTCAAACTTTTGTGGTGCACCCTAACTTCACTCTGAATGCTCTTGACCCTAATTAAAAATTACAATGAACATCCATCCCCATTCTCTCAGATTTAGAGAAGCCACTCATTCTTTTACAACACTATTAATCGGAAGGGGGTATTAGATTAGTAAATCAGTAGACGTAGCCTATACTTTTGGAATAAATATTAAAGAAAACGTGGCAAAGTCTCATTTCGTCAAAACAAATTTAAGTTATCAAAACAGAACCTGCTTTTTCAGATTTTTTCATTCACTTCGTTCTCTATCTTCTTAAGTTCTAAAGTACCATAGTACCATAGTAGTTTTTGAAATATAAGCTAAGACTTTTCTGTTATTGATTGAAGATTTATCGGAAGAACAATCAACCAAAAATTAAGCTAAGGCCAAAACCTCACCTTTCACTACAAAGTTTCCTCTGTGAGACTAGTAATGCAGACAACTTTGGTGCTTGTACATTTTGACAAAAAAGTCGACCAGATCTTGAAAATATCGAAGAAAAACTTCTTATCCTTGTAGCAGCCATCTTCCACACTGWTGTTTGAGGTCCAGTCACGCAAACCTGAGTCACGAAATCGACTCGCTTKTCGGCGACAGGTTTCCGAATATTTAACGACGGTTTCTCGAAATATCACAACCTTCTTCCACAGTTCAAAAAAATCCAGTTGTACCTTTTGAACTTTTTTATAAAAGTTAAAATGTCTCGCGAGAGAAATAATATCGAAATCTGTAACATATACAAAAAATATRCAAAATTCCTTTACCATAAATTTTWTTCAAAACAAAAATTGGATAAAATGAACATTACATCAATATTTGCAGCATTATTGGAAGGAAGCATATAATATTTGTTGATATTTGTTAGAAAAAAAGTAAAATTTAATTATACAGTACTAGTAGAATATTGGAGCTGCCAGCGATAGATTTGTCAGCGGTTACTCACTTACAATATAAAAATTCATTTCAAACAAAGATGGCGTCTGACGACGAAGATGTGCCAGGTTTGTTTATTTTAATMTTTCTGCTTCTGTATTTCCTAATAACCTCAATCTCACCCTTACTATCGCGAAACAAACTCAGTTTATTCTTGTTCCTTTTAAAATAAKCAAATCATTTGTGAATATTTAGAAACGGGCGCAGTTTTCACCTTCGGAAAGACGAGATTTGCTGATAATTTAGCGAGTAAATTTTGGATTCGTGRCGATCCTGTGGTTCAAATATCTTGCGGAGATGAACATTCAGCAATTGTCACGGGTAAGWAAGATTGTTATATTACGGWYCAGTGTTARTTTAGCTMSTTGTGTGACTTAATTGCGTTKTATATAAGCTGACAACTGTCTCAYTTCTCGTTCTTGTAAYCCCGCGTCTCCCAACGTAGCAAAGGGAAAACTCTACACATTTGGTTCAAACGACTGGGGACAGCTTGGACATGGTAATACCAAACCCTATACCAAGCCTAGTGTTGTAAAAAGTAAGTGGAATTTAGATAAGGCAACTCAAATTTTGTACACTGTAAAAAAGGAAATCAAACAAGGTGGCATTCAAGGTCGAAGCGCCTCGTTGCCTGGAAACAAGCTTTACAATCCAACATTAATGATTTCAATCTTTTAAAACCATTGTTGACCGTTCCTCTTTTGATTTTCATGGTTAAATCGCACCGAATAAATGGTTTTTATTCCTRTTTCCTGTTTTATCCGTATCAAATTGTCGACGACCCACGCACTGCTATGACTTTAATTCACAAAAAAAATAAATTTGTCACCGAAAATTGCCTTTCTCTCCAAWGAAAGTTTGATTCGTTTCCGTCATTTGCATGAGAAAGCTTTTTAAGTATTTATAGACTGTTCTGAATGGTTTTTGGTTAAAATATTTTTGTACATTACCTAATAGGATCAAGAGGAAGGTATTTGGTAATACAATTATTGCAAAACCATCGGAAAGTGTTGATTTTTATTTTGTTGTTTTTTGACATTAGGAACTTCTTGATGATTGTTTTGACATTTTCTTTAAAAATTTTGATGACCATCTAAGTTGTATGTAATACCCTTTTAATGAACAAACTCATAAACAATTTTCTAAGCTTGAATGATTCCATACAATTATTTTTAATAAGATAATACTGCATTTTTTAATTTATTCATATTTCTTTTATGTTATAACAAAGCATTTTGAAAATTTTAATTTAGTTAAAACTTCTCCAGAGGGGTCACAAAAATGAAAATTGCTGTCACCAATTACAATATCTTCAAAAGTAATCTACACATTTATCCATTAATCATTCATTCCCTTACTTTATTCATTTATTTATTATTTTTGTAGAACTAAAACCAGAGAAGGTATATCTTGTGGCTTGTGGAAGAAATCATACACTTGTTGCAACAGGTCAGTATACAATCACACATTTAACACATACTATAAATAAAAGCTCAAATCTCTTGTTACTAACTCTCTAGAGTCTGGAAAATTATACAGTTTTGGCTGTGGAAGTGATGGACAGCTAGGTCTTGGAGATTCAGAGGTAAGTTACCCCTAATAACAAAAGTATTGTCCAAGAAAAAAACTTTAGCTATTTTATTTAGGAATTCATTAAAATACAAAAGAAAGTGGTCATCTTTTGTCTTTTTTGTATTCCTAAGTTCCTAAATTAATCTCAGGACAAAGTTTTTGTAATAAGTGTAAACACGACAATTAAATGCTTTGAGTACATCTACTTGCAAAAACGTTGTCAAAAAAATAGGACATTTTGTATTTTAGTAAAAAGGAATAAATTTGAAAGACAAAAGAAGATCACTGAGGCTGAACGTTCTCTTTTGTCTTATTTTAATTTATTCCTTTTTACTAAATTCCAATATTCTATTTTCTATGACAACGTTTCTGCAAGTAGGTGTATATCTCTTGGATTTAATCTTCTGACTAATATTTTAAACTGTTACAGGGATGTCATGAGCCAAAAGCTATCGAGTCATTTGATGAAACTAAGTTTAAGAAACTAGCTTGTGGGTCAGACTTTTCTGCAGCTGTTACAGGTGAAATATGACTGACTTACTAAGCAAAGTATTTAATAGATAGATTAATTGATTATTGATTGATTGATAGAGTGATTGATCAATGGATTGATTGATTGAATGGCTGATTGATTGATCAATGGATTGATTGATTAGTTGATTGATGATTGGTCAATGGATTGATTGATGAATAGCTGATTGCTTGACTGATTGATTGATCAATGGATTGATTGATTGAATGGCTGATTGATTGATCAATAGATTGATTGATTGAATGGCTGATTGATTGATCAATGGATTGATTGATTGATTAGTTGATTGATGATTGGTCAATGGATTGATTGATGAATAGCTGATTGATTGATCAATGGATTGATTGATTGAATAGTTGACCGATTGGTTGATTGAATAGTTGGCTGATTGGCTGATTCATTAAAATGATTGTTGAATTTTTGATCAATTGGCTGTTTTATTTATTGAAATTATGTGATGATTAAGTGGCTGGATTGTTCCAAGCCTAAAAAATATTTTTTCAATTCAAGGTTTACATGTACCTATTAAGATTTTGTCTTTGAATAGTTTATCCATGAGTTAATTAATAATTAAACAATCTTTCCACAACCTGGCCCATATTGATAATCCATTTCACTGTATATATTACAGAGAATGGTATCCTCTACACCTGGGGRGGTGGTAGTGATGGACAAAATGGTCTTGGAGAAGATGCCGAAGCTCCACAAAGATTATACATCAGTGGTAAAGTAGTGACAGTGGGCTGTGGCTATTACCACATGGCTGTTGTTACAGGTATTCACTCCACATCTACCTACAATCTTGGACATAAATGATGAAAACTTCGATAAAATCTTCCTGTTCCCCCTTACCCTGAGTACAGTGTTTTGTGGCTTTCTTTTCTGACCATTCATTAACCTGTACTTACAAAATTGATGCAGGAGGGAGGGGAGGGAGGGGGAGGGAGGGGAAATTTTTTCAGTAGATGCATGTGATACAGTATTTGTAATGCCCAAACAAAAAAATTGTCAAGTATCTATGTCCAAAAATTATGTGGTTTATTATATTTTGGTACAATGGCTGTGTGTATTTCGGCAAAAATCGTTGCATCGCAACTTCTTGTTTCAAAGTTTGTTTTTATTTTTTCTTTGATCTAAGGGGCGGAGCTTTTCGTAACCTCGTTCAGTCATTGGCTGATTTTCACTATATGAAATGAACTATACTGATCAAACATCATATTGATTGACAGATGATGGGTCATTATACACCTGCGGCGAAAGTACAGGAGGAAAACTGGGACTTGAACAATCWAGACTTGACGAAACATCTCAGTTACAGAAAGTTGAAAGCATCAAGGAAAAAGTCACTACTGTCTCATGYGGAGCAGAGTTCACTGTTGCTGTCACTGAAAATGGACATGTTTACTCATTTGGTCAAGGAAACCAAGGACAATTAGGCCTTGGATCATTACAATTTGAAACTGAACAACCTGAGAAAGTACAGACATTTAATAAAATTAAAGCGAAGAGTGTTTCTTGCGGTGAAAGCTTTACTGCCATCGTAACTAAACATGGAAACTTTTATACATTTGGTGATGGCCGACATGG